GCCCTTAACCATACGAGTGGCCCTTCTCTGGACCCTCTCCAGGTTATCTGCATCCCTCTTGAAGTGCGGCGCCCAGAATTGCACGCAGTACTCCAACTGCGGTCTGACCAGCGCCCGATAGAGGGGAAGTATCACCTCTTTGGATCTATTCGTCATGCATCTGCTGATGCACGATAAAGTGCCATTGGCTTTTCTGATGGCTTCGTCGCACTGCTGACTCATGTTCACCTTGGAGTCCACTAGGACTCCAAGATCCCTTTCCACTTCCGTGCCACCCAGCTGGTCATTTCCTAGGCAGTAGGTGTGCCGGACATTTTTCCTCCCTAGGTGCAGCACTTTGCATTTCTCCTTGTTGAACCACATTCTGTTGTTTTCTGCCCACTTGTCCAACCTGTCCAGGTCTGCTTGCAGCTGTTCCCTGCTCTCCGGCATGTCCACTTCTCCCCATAGCTTTGTGTCACCCGCAACCGTAGCTTTGTGTCATCCGCACTTGATAGAATAGGAGTAGGCAAACCCCGTCAGGGGTGCCTGAGTGTAGCACACAAAGGCATTTTGCTTGGCATGCACACCTTGAGGTGGATGGTGGGGGAGCCATGAGGGGCCCAATCTTTGTTTTAACAGTGCAGACCTGGCCCCTTCCTCACTGTCCACCTTGAAGCGTGCGTGCACCCGCCACCAGCAACAAGCTGGGGTAGGGCTCTGCCAACTCCAGTGCAGCTGCCTGCAGCCTCCCTGCTGCAATCAGCCTGGGTTCTGTGGTAGGTGGCAGAGGCCTGCTCAGAGCCCAGGCCAGTTGTGGCAAGCAGCTGAGATGCTGCAAGCAGTTACACTGGGCTCTGCAGAGCCTTGGCCCAGCTCATTGCTGGTGGTGGGTGCTCAAGCACCTTGAGGTAGATGGCAGAGAATGGACTGGGGCTGTGCTGCCACAAGAAGGATTGGGCCCCTCACAGCTCCCCCACTGTCCTCCTGTGGCATGCCAACATCTAACAACTCAAGGCTGTGAGTGTTTTTGGCACTCTGCCCAAAAACATAGCTGACCCCGGTGTTAGAATAAATCTACAATCTCATTCTGAATAACAACATGATACAGTCAATTAGTCTAGATATAGTCCACAAATTTATGGATGGTCTGTCAAAAAAAAACCCAACAAAAAACAGGCCAAAAGCACGTGTCTTTCAAGTCAGTAAAAGTTGAGCCATCCATAAAAAAAAATGAGAGGCCCTGAGTTTCAATATCTATTGTCAGAATGAAGCTAGATTCACTAGTGTTGATGCTGGACAGGGACCAGAGCAGTACCACTAAGCGTCTCAGTTGGAGCACTGCTCCATGCCCTGCAGTTAACTGTCAGGGCTTTCTGATGCAAAGGGGTCCTTCCTTGCTTTCTTACCTTCTAACCTAACCAAGTGCTGCCCTGGTGTGTCTGGTTATGGCCTGTCTGTAACACTGCTGAGTTTTCACCCCAAAGGTATGCAAAGCCGAGTAGCCCCAGGCCAGGCAGGACAGAGTGGGAGGTGGTGAGGCCAGGACTGAGTTGCAGTTGAGGGGCTGGAGCACAGAAGACAGGGAGAGGTGGAAGGTGGGGGTCTGTGCTGGGATGTGGCAGCAGGTGAGCAGGGCATGTTGCACAGTGTAGTCCGGGTGTCAAGACATGGGGTGAATTTGGGACCCTTTGAGTGGGGGCAGCATGATTTAAAACTATTATTGCAGTCAAGCAGGGATACCAACCCAAGACTAGTTTTTAGTGACTATATGAAAACTTGCTACTGACAAGCAAACTTTTTTAGTGTGGTCAGTATTAAACCCTTAAATTTGAAAATGGTGCTTGTTATTGCTGTCCAGAATCTGGCAGAAGGGGTATCTTTACATTATGTAAGACAAATGCCAGTAAAACAGTTTGATTGTCAGTAACAAGTTTGAAAAGTGTCACTGAAAATAAATAAAAAATCTTGGGTTCACAACCCTGGACAAGAACATGGCACTCACATGGCTGTTGCTGTTTTCCAAAAGCAACACTACATATTATTCAAAATATTTTCCATATTGTTATATTTGAAATATGAAGCTTGTTCTTTTGTTATTTCTCATTAAAAAGGAATTAGAGTTAAACATAAAAGGCCTGTGAATTAGATTTTAATTTAGAACAAACTGCTCACTAACACTAACAGCACAAGCATTTTAAAAAGAAGTTGATATATAGACAGCTATTAGGAGGGTGAAGAATAATGGCTGCTTTCTAACTTGTCCACAGAACGAAACACTCCAATGTTATTGTTCAACCATGTCATAATTTCTGATAATTTTATGTGGAAGTCACATTACGACTCTGAACAGCAGTCATGCTATGCTATATTGGCTACAATGTTACCTTAGAAACTGGTACTTTAGAATGAAATGTTTGAGAAAAAGAAAAAAGTACCCTATTTTCACTGCTGACTCATGGCAAAACCATAATTATTAGTGTAAAAAAACCAACCAACCAACCAACCAACCAACCAACAAAAACTTAGCACAACACATTAGATTCAAGTTCAGGAAACAGCTTATTCAGATATTTTTATTCATCTTTGTTTTGCTGAACACTAGAACTTCAAACTCAAACTGAAGTACCTTACATTAAAAATGAATAAGTTTTGTGTACAGTTAGGCGTTTTGCATACAGTTATAGGAAATCTGTATTTCATTCTTTAGATAGTGGATTTTAAGTCTTTTTATGCTAACACAAAACATTATAATGGTAAATATCTGACTTCAGACTTAATGGTCTAAGTTGGCTCCCAGATGCATTTTCCAGACTTCAGCAACATGCTGTTTTATGTCATGAAAACAGAGCCAGTAGAAATCCACAAGGAAAATTCATACCCTGGTGTATAGTCTCCTCAGTTTATATTGGAATGGAAGGCTTTTGTGTATCCTCAAGGCCTGAGATTTAAGTGTTTTCCTATGCACCCTATTGCTGAAATCAAAGTGCTATCTGTAATGCACTGGCTTTTTTGGATAATGTACCTCTGGAAGTCATTCAAATGATGCACCCTCATTTAAACAGGCCCAAAAATAAAGAGTCAGGGAGGAAACAAAAACAAAGAATGCTGAGAATACACGAAGGACGTTAGGTACAATATTGTTTGGATTTATTAATAAATAGGCAAAATATCTGAGAGCTTTAGAAAAGCAATTTTTAAAATAAGTTCTTATTCCCATAGTCAAACCTGAGAAGTAGGCAACTTCCCGCATTCAACGGGAGAACTAAATAAAACCCCTTTATTACTATAAACGTCCATTTCTTTCTTCCTCTACAGGCAAGTAATGCAAAGGTCAGCTGCACCCCTTATAATAGTTTCATAGTTGGTAGGGTCGGAAGGGACCTGAGCAGATTATCAAGCCCAACCCCATGCCATGGGCAGGAAAGAATGCTGGGGTCAAACAACCCCGGCTAGGTGATTATCTAGCCTCCTTTTGAAGACCCCCATGATAGGAGCGAGCACCACTTCCCTTGGAAGTTGGTTCCAGATCCTAGCCACCCTGACTATGAAGTAGTGCCTTCTGATGTCTAGCCTGAATCTACTCATGGCCATTATTCCTTGTTACTCCTGGTAGTGCTTGGGGGAACAGGGACTCTTCCATTACCTGCTGGTCCCCCTTGGCAAGTTTATAGATGGGTTTATAATGACATTCTGCCTTTCAAACTTGGGCCTCAGCTTCATCCACCCTTTTTACAAAAGTCTTAAAGAAAAGTCACTAACTGACTTGAAAAGGTCCAAAGACTGAGCTGTTCCACAACAATGAACTGGCTCCCTCCATCTCAAATCCAGACAGTGTTGAATAGTTATGGAAATTTTCTACCCATTACTTTAAGGTTACAACTCAATAATCCCTTATACAGAGACATAAAGAGCCCGTTGGTGGCACTGCTACTCCACCTCTCTTCAGAACTTGTTTTTGTAGCAAATGAACATTAGTAGGGTTTTGAAAAGATTTTTAAAAAATGCATACTTATGTTGCACCATAGGTGACAATTTTAATTGTGAAAATAGGGTTCAGCAAGACTGAGAAGTCTACTGAAACCTATTGAAGACTAACTATAGACTCAGCACTACTTGCAAATTTGATCAATTACTGCCACCTGCAGCCCATGACTAAAGAGTTATCCCTTTAATGCACAAGTCTACTTTTCTTTGAGCTTCATTTTTTCATAGCCAACCTGTTTCATTCTCCTGAATTTTTTAAGAATACAAATCTATAATGTACAAAATAAGAAGAGAGAGAACAAAGTACAGATATAGGTTTTATTTGTTTTCCCAGACAGCAAATTTTGTGAAATAAAACACTGTGACCCTTAACATTTTCAAATAGAATGTAAAATAGAATGTAATTCTTTTTAAATCTCAACTACTGTATACACAGTAGCCCTTCAGTTAATAAGTACATCTTTGCAAAAGTCCATTATCCATCTTGCTTACCTTAAAAATTGTTCCTTAATACATCAAAATTGATTTATTAGACTAAACACAGGCATTTTATGCAACTGCCATGCAGGTATCTTTAAAACCAAATTTTCCTGAGCCATAAAAGTTACTTACGTGTGGTGGGTCCCAAAGGCAATATCCAGCTTAGCCTATAGTAAGAATGAGAATTAGTTAATTTTAGAAAAAAACCCCTACTTTCTTATACAGGAGCAGCAACTTGCTACAATTCATATAGAGAAGGTTGTAATTTCTATTTTGCTTCAGCTCACTGCTCTCTAGTGGAGAAATCAGAAACTATAAGAAAAGTCACTTTTTTCCCCTCCAAGAGCTGTAGAGGCAATCTTCAACTGCTCAATGTTATACTGAAGAAGAGTGACTCTTATTTCACTCAAAATCATTTAATTCAGAAATATGATATTTAAACCTATTAAGTAGGGGCACCATATGTTGCACCATCAAATAGGTACAACAAAAGTTATCACGTCTAATTTCCATAATCTAATTGCAGCTGTTCAATGCAATATAATGCATATTTTACAATGGAGAAGCCTACAGTTGTATCTTAGTATTCTTGGATTCAGGTTTAGAACCACATTGTCTACAAACAATTCCTCTACAATAAGTATGTAGGTAACAGACTAGGAACACAGGATGTTCTCTTTGTGGACTGTTTGCTTTATAGCAGTGATTTCAACCTGAGGTCCACAGACTATGGCTAAGGGGTCTGCAAAAGATGACTACGATCAATCAAAAGTATGCAAATCCCCACACTTACAATTCAAAGTGGCCCTGCACCTCCATTCAAAATTTCCAAAGGGGTTTGCACCTCCGTTTAAAATTTTATAGGCATCCGCAAATGGAAAAAGGTTGAAAACCACTTCTCTATAGCATAGCAACTTGCTCCAGTCTGGTACCATATACTGTGGAGTTCTCACAGAAGTTAACATATTTGCCTGTCAACCCAAAGAGGAATTAAGAAAAATCACCTGGCAAAGGCTAACATTTTCATATGGGCGTGCCTGTGCAATCAGCTGAGCCTTGGATTCTCTCTTCTCACCGTGGACTATTAATAAAGGCTTTTTCCTTGAACAAAATTCAAACAAGAACATTTTTATTAAAACGATGTCTGGTGGGTTAACACACTACCTAGAGCCAGCCAAAACGGGCTCTCCACATAACTACAACCCACATTACTACAATCTCTCTCCACATAGCTACAATCTCTAATCCTAGTTTCCCATGCTCCAGCAGAAAGGGGAACCTATAATTTCAGCTGCCAAACAATCACCCCAAAGCAATTAACAGTAAATTTGGATATAAGTTTCTAAGAAAGGGCTTCCAACTCAGTTGGAAAAGGAGTAAGAAGACAGAAAGATAGATAATAATAAGATAAAAGGAGTAATAAGATAGGAATAATTCAGGACATATGAAAGAAAATTGCCTGCTAAGAATGAAGAAGCAGATAAAAGCCTCTTAGAACATCTTGGATCCACAAGTAAAGAGAAAAGGTTTCTTAGGTAGCAATTTGCATAGAAATCCTGAAAAGAGTGTAGTGTTGTTAGTCAAAGTTCACCAATGAGGGGGAGGCAGAATGGGCACTGTGCAAGTTCATGCTCACTGTCTAATGCTCCATTCCACTGCCATTGATTGTAAGCTCTGAGAGATAAAAGCTGCCTTTTTGATCTGAGACTATGTAGCTCCTAGCACACACGGGCTCCTGGTCCATGACAAAGGCCCTTTGACACTATAATGCAAATAAGCAAATAAAATCAGAATCCTAGAATGAATTCTGACAAATATTTTCACAGCCTCAAACAGCCTAAAATAGAACAAACCAAAAGGAAGAGTATAAAAGAGAGGGGGAGACGGACTGACTTTTAATTTAAAACTTTAATATATTAAAAACAAAAGGTGAATGTGCAAAAGGGTGTTCCTCCATTCAAGGAGGTGAGCATAAAACCCTTATTGGTAACAAAACACCTTATCACCAGTGATTTAAACCCCCTTCCTGACAATACCCTTCATGGAGTTACACATTTAAGACAAGCTGTCAGTCTTCCACCTTGTAGAGTACCCCCTCAATATGCCACTATAACACAAACTGGACACTTCACCTTGCCATGAAATGTGGACCAAACTCATATGAGACCTATGTATGCCCAGTGGAAGGAGAGGGAGGAGGGAGTATGCAGGCACAAACAAAGTAAACAGTGGCAACAAGCACATATATTGTTAGCTCATGCCTTTAAGGAAAAAGTCATCAACTTATGCACAAAGGATAATGGCAAAGGGAGGAAGAAGAAAACAAAAACCTACACACCTGTACTGATGTTTAAAAGGAAAAAAAGATGAACAGGGAAAAGTGTCTTAATAGGCAAGCTCAAACAAAGGCATAGCATTCAAATGTTAGAATTAAAAAAAAAACCGCACGAAACATGCATGCACACAAATGTTATTTCAAGACAGCATAACTTTATCCTTGCAAAGGAACATACCTGAACTCCTGTGGATACTGTCTTATGAGCCATCCCACATCTACGCAATAGTTAAACTTGGACATGAGAAGAGGAGGAAAAATTAGTTAAGAAAACAAAGAAAGCCAAGAAATATATTCTACCAAAGTAACGACTAAAAAGAAATGTTCTGCGTGATGAGTACTGCTGTGCACAGCATTATAATTGGAATTTTAAAAGTAGCAGCAATAGATATGTTTTAAACAATATAGGTATTTTAACTTTTAAAAAATTATCATCATACTTTCAAACATGTTTCCTTAAATTATGTTTAAGGGAGATCATATTCTCCATTTTATAGCAAGCGATCAATCATGTTGTAAAATGTAACACGTGCCTCATTCCCCAATTATCTTTTGCCTGCAAGTACTGTGGGACAGGGCCATCTTTTTGCACTATGTTTGCACAGTACCCATCTAGTATGGTGTGTCCTATTTGAGGACCAGGCCTTCTATGCATTATTCCACAGAAATAATAATAGATACAACTCCTACAATAACATTTTGTTCTGTAGACTACTCCTTCTTTTACTGTGTACATAGACACATGGGAGAGCAGATGAGTAAATATCCATTTTTCAATGTCTATCCATTCCCAAAAGATACTGGAGATTAAAGTTTAAGTTCACTCTAAACAGAAGACGAGACCTTTGACTCAAATAAAATAATCATTCTAAGTGTGTAGCTTAAGCATTTCACTCAAAGTTCCCTAATGTAAGCAGAAAGAGCCAAATTCCAATATCAATTATACTGGGAAAATCTGGCCTCAAGGATAAGAGTACTACATCAGTATAAACAACAGTAAGTGAGGTCAGTATCTGGCTAATACCAAAGACTTGAAGCTTACCTGGGCAGAAGACACAAGAGTTCCAAAGAGAGGTGACAAAATATCTATTAAAAACAGTAAGGCACATCTCTGAATGAAATATTTAAAAAAACCCACACTTTAAATCTTGTAACAATTTTATAAAGGCTGTTACACAAGTGCTGTGAAATGATTGGGTCTCAGCAACTTAGCTGTTTAATAAAAGATATGTCACTGCAACTATCAGGAATGCTAAACTTGCTGGCAACACTAACAAGACTAATGAGGATGAAAGCTGAACCACCCTGTCACCTGTACGAACAGCTCCTGTAAGTTTGGGAAACACTGGCACAAGTTTGGAGTTTGACCCGATGCTGCCCATACCTATTGTGCTACACCCAAAGATCTTTAGTCTCTCAGTTGCCCAAAGTCAGCAATTTCCATTCCCTCTTCTTTTTCTCCCCACATTTTCTGGAGTAGGGAGATGAGTGCAACTATGGCACAAACCTAGTCTCTGATCCTACAACCAGATTAATCGTGTTTTGATGCCTGTGCCAGACGGAACCCCACTAAAATCAACAGAGCTCCACACAAGTATAATAGCAGGATAAAGGCATAAAAGTCTGATATGTTCTAGTATGTAAAGAATATAACAGACCACATATTTTAAAAGAATCTCAATAACTGAAGCACTAAATAAAAAATACTTCAAAAAATACCCACACCTTTCTCCCTAAATTATTGGGAATCAGATTAAATGTTTTAAACACTTTCCTATAAATCTGATTTCTCAGATTAAAATTTATAGGGACTGTTCCTCAGATCAAGGGGCTCTATCCAGCTAGATAATGGGCACACCTGACAGAGTATGAAAACTCTGATGTCCCATTGTGCCTATAAGAGATGTGAGGATGACCAGCTTCTTCCAGGAGTAATCAATACCTTGTGGAAATGCCTGGGACAATAATTTTCATGAGAATACTGACAAAGAGAAAGTCATGCCCTAAAGTATGCTTTAAAGCTTCACTTAAATTCACTGGAGTATTTAATTAACAGTATACACAAGCTGTTACTGCTGAGGTTTTGAAGCAGCTAGAGCAGCTCAAAAAGTTGAGAGTGGATAACCAGAGGGAGTGTAGTTTAGACACTGGGAAATACACTTGTTCAGAACACCTCCCACAGATTTTGATGTTTGGAGCTCCTAAAGAACCACCCTAGAATAAAGCCGCTATTCTCTTTTTCTCCCTCCTCTCCCATTAGGCCCCTAGCAAGAAGGCAACAGTGCAAGCACCATGTGACCTCCTCCAGGTAGGTGAACTCCATACTATATGTTTACAGTCTAACCCAACTGTTGTATTAAAAGGAAAAGGGCTTTGAGAATGAAAACAGCTTATACCATATAGTTACACATTCAAAGAAACAGATGCAGGAACTGTAACTGATGTTACCTGTACATTCAGAACTTCAAAACTATGAGATGAAGACTGTAACTTTTAAATACAGGTTATCAAAAACTAGAGGTGCGCAGATACATCGGTCCGATATCAGGTCGGCACTGATATAAAGAAAATTGACTACAGGCAGTCCTTGGCTTATGACTTCTCAATTTACAATGAATGGCACTTACAACCCTTATAAATGACACCATATTTTGAGGTTCTTACATGGGTTTCAACTTTACGACACTCGATACAGCTGCGTCCAGCTGGTAAGTCTGGAAGGGGAGAGGGAAGGGAGGAAGTGTGGGGGTGCAGATCAATGCCCCTGCAGCGAAGGAGGGATTGGGGCCGGGGCAAGCACTGTGCAGCCAGGGCAGGAAAGCATGGGATGAAGGCATGGCTCGTCTGAGGGGCGCAGCTCCTACTGCTGCATGCCGCTGGTCCAGGAACTGTTTGTCCAGCAGCTCACACCACTGTTCCTGCCGCTCATCTGGGAAGGCACAGGGGGAGGCTTGTGCCCCTGGATCTGCACGGGGCAGGTGGGGCCAGGGCTGCACCGCACCACGCTTCAGGCAGGTGCGACAGCACTGGGAGAGGGGAGATGTCCTGCTGCCACTTGCCCAGCCAGGACAGGGTGGGCGTGGGACAGAGCCATTGCGCTGCTGCTGGACAAGCGGTGTGAAGTGGCAGGAGCTACACCACCCCCAGACGAGATGCACCATCATCCTGCGCCGCCCCGCCCTGTCACAGGGCAGATGGCAGAGTGGGGGCTACAGCCACTTGAAAATTCACCATAGCGCCCCCAACTGCTTGCCCAGAGTGCAGCATGGTGCAGCCTTGGCCTCACCTACCCTGTGCCCATCCAGGGGCATGCGCCCTCCCCCGCCCCGCTTCCTGTGCCCTCCCTGAGAAGTGGCAGGATCAACGGTGGGAGCCGGAGCCGCCGAACAAGCAGCTCCTGAATCAGCGGCGTGCAGTGGCTGGAGCTGCCCTGCCGCCCAGCCTGGACAAGCTGCACCTTTGTCTTGCGGTTCTCCGCCCTAGTGGGCAGATGTTGTCCCAGCCCCAATCCCACCTTCACTGTGGGAGCACTGATCTCCCCCCACCACACCTCTTCCCTCCCCTTCCACCACAACAGACTTATCAGCTGGACACAGCTATATCGAGCATCCTAAGGAACCAATCACCCATTTATAACATTGTTTCTATGGGAAAATTGGTTCCAAGTTACGATGTTTCAACTCAAGATGCTGTTTTCTGGAACCACCTGCATCAGTCTGAGGACTGCAAGTAATATAGGAAATGGGCATGTTGTGGCTGATAATCTGGTTGATAAATGCCCGTGCATGCATGCATCTGCAGCGCAGCATGCAGGCAGCAAGGAAAGCTGTGCCCAGCTGGTAAAAATGTTGTGTTGGAAAAAAAGTGACCTGTTACAAACTAGTCAGAGGGGACCAGCAAGCACTGGGGGAGTCCCTGTTCCCCCGAGCACTACCAGGAGTGACTAGAAATAACGGTCACAAGCTGGCAGAGGGTAGATTCAGACTAGACATCCGGAGGCGCTACTTCAGTCAGGGCGGCTAGGATCTGGAACCAACTTCCAAGCGAAGTGGTGCTGGCTTCTACCCTGGGGGTGTTTAAGAGGAGGTTAGAGGAACACCTTGCTGGGGTTGTTTGACTTTTTCCTGCCATGGCAGGGGGTCGGACTTGATGATCTGCTCAGGTCCCTTCCGACCCTACCAACTATGAAACTATGAAAGGGGAGGGAAAGGGCATGGTGGAGCAGATCAACACCCCCTGGGGTGAGGGAGGGAGTGGAGCAGGGCAAGGGACAGCATGGAGTTGCAGCTTGTCCAGGGGGTGTGGGAAGGAGAAGCAGCTCCTGCCACTGTGTGCACCCTGGAAGGGCATGGGGGAGGGGGCATGTGGCCCCAGATCTGTGCAGGGTGGGACAGGCTGCAGATGCAGGTTGGGGCCAGGGGCCACACCCGGGTCTTCCTGGAAGGAAGGCCTGGGCCACGCTGCACTTGGGACAGGCAGCAACACTGGAATGGGGGCTGCAGGGGGGGGCTGCAGCCACCCCAAGTTTTGCTGTAGCGCCCCCGTAGTCCTCCCTCCCAGCACTGCTGCCACCCAACTTGAGCACAATGCAGCCCAGCTCCATCAGGAAGAGACCAGCGCAGCCCCTGGCCCCAGCACACAGTTGCAGCGCATCCCATCCCACCCTGCACAGATCTGGGGCCACACGCCGTCCCTCTCCCATGCCCTCCCAGGGTGCGCACAGCCGAGGGAGCCGCTCCCTGTCTCCGCGCCCCCAAGATGAGCCATGGCTCCGTCCCACACCTCACCCCACCCCAGCAGTTCAGCACCCACCCCAGCTCCACTCCCTCCCTCATAGTTTCATAGTTGATAGGGTTGGAAGGGACCCGAGCCGATCAAGAAAGAGTGCTGGGATCAAATGACCCCAGCTAGGTGGCCATCTAGCCTCCTTTTGAAGACCCCCAGGGTAGGAGTGAGCACCACTTCCCTGGGAAGTTGGTTCCAGATCCTAGCCGCCCTGACTGTGAAGTAGTGCCTCCTGATGTCTAGCCTGAACCTACTCTCAGTCAACTTGTGGCCATTATTCCTAGTTACTCTGGGTAGTGCTCAGGGGAATAGGGTCTCTCCCATTCCCCACTGGTCCCCCCTGGTAAGTTTATAGACGGCCACCAGATCCCCTCTCAGCTTTCTCTTGTGGAAGGTAAACAGGTCCAGGTCCCGTAGCCTCTTCTCGTAGGGCCTGCCCTGCTGCCCCCTGACCATGCAAGTGGCCCTCCTCTGGACCCTCTCGATGTTGTTCTAATCTCTCCTGAAGTGCAGTGCCCAGAACTGGATGCAGTACTCCAACTGTGGCCTGACCAATGTTGCACAGAGGAGGAGGATCACCTCCTTGGACCTGCTTGTGATGCATCTGCGGATGCATGACAAGGTGCAGTTAGCCTTACTGACCGTGTCCTCCCTCACATTGGCAGCTCCCAGCATCTAGCCTGAATCTACCCTCTGCCAGCTTGTGACCGTTATTTCTTGTCACTCCTGGTAGTGCTTGGGGGAACAGGGACTCTCCCAATGCGTGCTGGTCCCCCCTGACTAGTTTGTAAACGGCCATTAGATCCCCTCTCAGCCTTTTCTTGTGGAAGGGGAACAGGTCCAGGTCCCATAGCCTCTCCTTGTAGGGCCTGCCCTGCTGCCCCCTGACCATGCAAGTGGCCCTCCTCTGGACCCTCTCGATGTTGTTCTAATCTCTCCTGAAGTGCAGTGCCCAGAACTGGATGCAGTACTCCAACTGTGGCCTGACCAATGTTGCACAGAGGAGGAGGATCACCTCCTTGGACCTGCTTGAGATGCATCTGTGGACGCATGACAAGGTACAGTTAGCCTTCCTGACCGCGTCCCCACAGTCGGCCCACGTTCATTTTGGTATCAGTGATGACTCCAAGTTCCCTTTCTGCCTCTGTGCTGATGAGAAGGGAGTTCCCCAGCCTATGCATATGCTGCTGGTTCTCTCTCCCTAGGTGCAGTACCCTGCACTTGTCAGTACTGAATCCCATCCTACTCTCATCCACTGACCCCTGTAACCTGTCCAGATCTAGTTGTAGCCTATCCCTCCCTTCTAGACTGCCCACCTCACCCCAAATCTTAGTGTCATCCCAAATTTGAACAAGGTGCTTTTCACTCCCTCGTCCAAGTCGCTGATAAAGATGTTGAACAGTACGGGCCTGAGGACCGAGCCCTGGGGGATTCCTCTGCCCACATTCCTGCAGGTCGAAAATGACCTGTCCACCACCACTCTCTGGGTGCAGCTGTCTAGCCAATTTACAACCCATCTAACTGTGTAGGCATCAATGCCACAGTCACCTAGTTTTTTAATGAGAATAGGGTGAGAGACAGTGTCAAAGGCCTTCCTAAAGTCCAGAAAGACTACATCCACCATAACACCTGCATCCAAGGATTTTGCGACCCAATCATAAAAAGGCAATGGGGCACTGATCTGACCTCCCATGTCCCTTCCCTCTCCCCTCCCCATCCCCCACAACAGACTTACCAGCTGGACGTAGCTGTATCGGAAATCAGATCATATCAGCCAATATGCCTCATAAATCAGCTATCAGCATAAGCCCCCAAAATCTTTATCGGTGCACCCCTAGTAAAAACATTTTTATATTGATTCCCAACTCTGCCTTGAAGAGGATGTAGATAAATTGCACTTACCTTTTATATGAAGTGCTCCAGAGTTGTACTTAGATTTAATGCCTTTAACTTTAGTGAGGAAGAATCTGAAAGGATTTCTTCCATTCAACAAATCCCAAATGCCCTTTACTTCACCTGATGCCTCATGATGCTCTTCTGATTTGGGACTCATTGAGCATGCATTGTTATCTTTACGTAGACATGGAAGTTGGTCTTCAGGCATGTCATATTTCTCCTCTTTGACCATTTCTTTTTTCACATCCTTTGGCTGACTTTCAGGTTCAGGTTCTTCATCACTACTTGAAAGACACCAGCCTAAGCCTTCTTGGGAAGTTCTCTGTTTTTTTGCTGGAGATACCTCAGTAAGAAAACTTCCCTCAGTAAATTTTGCAGGAGAAGCTTTTCTCTTGTGAGCAACTTTTCTGGCTTCTGAACATGGGTACTGTGGTCCTCTATTTTTGCCATGCCCATTTGGTAATAATGCAGATGTAGATGGCTTCTCATGGTCAGAGTTTTCTTCTGTGCTTTCGTCACTGCTAGATATCGTCCATTTCCCATGTTCACTTTCTTGAAGCATATTCCTGCAGAAAGAACAAAAAACCTGCAACTTAAGTTCATTGCACTGCTCTCACATTTTTCTTTTTAGTGTTTATTCACTCATTGACCACCCTGAGGGCCTGAAAGGCAAAAAGAACCTTCTTAATAAACGGATCATTCAGATAGTTCCTATAACTAAGAAAATCTCAACAAAACAGTCATAGGAAACCCCTGACCCTTGCAATAGGATGGAGTCCTAAAAGAATATGCTTCTACCCAATGGGAGAAATTACTGTGACAGACTGGGAATAGAGATTAAAACAGAGAAAAGCATTGAGTCTCGGGGCAGAAGCTTTTCACTGCTAGCTCAGGTATTCCTAAATTTACTAGGTGGTGGATATGTGGCAACTGACAGCATGAAGTGAAAGGCACTTCTATCTATTTGGATCCAACTCTGGCACACTTAAGAAAGTGGATGTCTCATTTGAGATGGTCCTGATTGATCTGAGTCAAAACCCAAGATGAAAGAGGAGGGGCACAGCCCTTTATACATGAAGCCTTTCCAAAGGGTGTTGCTGGTTCTCTGCCAGTAGGTGTTCAGGGAGAGCACACAGCTTGATGGGCTTGTTTCTAAAATAACTAGCAAGTATCTTGAAAGAGCCACACTTAATTTACAGACCCATAGGTTAGCATATTTTATTGCACACTTCACAGCTATTTAAGGTAGGATAATGAACTGGTAAAGTCTTTCTCCCTGGAGAAAACACTAAAAATCATAGTTATTTACATGACTTTGTAGAGCTGCAAGATAATGCAAGCCTCTACACATGATATCTCCATGGGTAGATAGCTGGTGTATGCTAATATAATCCAAGACACGTAATTATTCATGCAGCCTATGTTAGCCCAGGGGATAGCAGGTTAAGAAGTTCCAATGTCATGCTGTGATAGGAAGAGAGAGGGACTCAGTGCACAATAACTACACCAGTACAGTTGGCAAGATGGCAAAATATACTTAGGCTGTGGGTTTAACCCATGGTGCACAACTGCTATCTTAGGGCAATATCTTTTATTGGACCAACTGTATAGCTGTGAGAGTTAGATAAGTTTTCAAATGCAAAACATTCTTCATCAGGTCATCCATAAAAGATAGCACCCTAAAAAATGCTTGCCCCTCACATAATTTCTGAACCATCATAGCTATAAAGTCACTCCTTCTCTCTGGAGAAATCCTACATCTAAATGCAGCCAGAAGAAAAGAATGGGTGGAGGCGGGTTAGCACCTGCCTTATTAACAAAGGGAAAGCAAGTGTGTGAGAAGGGCACCTCCAGCACCACAGTCCCTAAGCCTCCTTAGGCATCACTGAGGCCCCTGCCACAGATTACACTCAAGACATGATTATCCAGTTAATCATACCCTAAGTTGTTACCTGGCCACATGCTAAAACAAGTAATGGTGTCATGAAATGAAGAATAAGCCACAAAGTTATTCCACAAAAAGTGTGTAATAATTTTGTGGCTGATTCCTATCACACCATTTACTGAACGTACAGCCAGGTCTGCCCCCACTGCTCAGCACCCCATCAGCAGCAGGCAGCCACCCTCCATGTGCACCCCCTGTGACTGGGAGTCCAGACCGGCGGATGAGGCTCCCACCTGCGGGAACCCGTTACTTGCCAGTGCAGACGGAGATCATGATCCCCAGCTTCCCTGCACCAGCAATAAGATTCATAGATGTTAGGGTCGGAAGGGACCTCAATAGATCATCGAGTCCGACCCCCTGCATAGGCAGAAGAGAGTGCTGGGTTTAGATGACCCCAGCTAGATACCTCCCTACCCTCCTCTTGACCCCCAGGGTAGGGGAGAGCACCACCTCCCTTGGGAGCCCGTTCCAGACCCTGGCCACTCTAACTGTGAAGAAGTTCTTCCTAATGTCTAGTCTAAATCTGCTCTCTGCTAGCTTATGGCCATTATTTCTTGTAACCCCCGGGAAATAAGGTACAACAGGATGTGATGCTGGAGCCCACAATCACGCCACCTGCCATGCACCTGTGGCGCGGCA